TACCACTGATCGATTGCAAAGGTAACTTAAAGGAATGCTAACGTAGTCTGCACAACTTTTGAGCAAAGTTGTTATTACTTCATAACCACATCAATTTTTTGATTTGAGAGAATTTATTATACTTTTAATTTCAGTTGTTGTTGTGGGCATGAGACTTAAATTTGGAAAGATTTTAGGGGTTGCTTGAGCAAGGTACTTTGTTGCGTCTTCTGTTGTTACGGTTGTAGTGTCATTTTTAATTCTTTGTATAATCGTTAAGAAGTAAGTATTGAAATAATTTGCTAAGAGTTCAGGATTTCTTATTGTTTATCTTTTGCCTTGTGTAGGATATTTCCCCGTTTCCTTTTTCGCTATTTTCCAAACTGCTTTTATTTTACTATTTGACCCTATCGTCTGTTTGTTGTCTGTATTGACTCTTGCAATATTTCCGGAAGTGAATTTTCGTTACTTGGTTGACACTAGTTTGACAGTTTAGGTAAAGAACAGTAAAATGTTTTGATAACAGACACTCGCTGATCCTTCATATATGGGGACAATTCCTAATGAATTTGGTAAGACCGAGAGTTTTGTATTCCTGCACTCGCTGATAAATGTTGCACCGTACATACTTTACGCTCATTCAAAGATATTACACGGTGTTTCTGTTAATTTTGTAGCTTGGTTCGACCAGATGTAATGGAAGAATTGGTGACTCTTACAACTGTTGAACCGTCTGGGGAAGTGGATGAAAAAGTACGCTATAAATATCCCAGCATGGCGTGTGAACTCCTGACGTGCGATGTTCCGGCTCTTAATGAACGCCTGGCCGGTGATGAAGCGTTGCTTGGAAAATTATACGCGTTCCTGGAATCGGAGAAACCGCTTAATCCACTTCTTGCGTCTTTCTTCAGTAAAACTATTGGTGTTCTTGTAGCACGAAAGAGTGAACAGGTCAGTTCTTGCATGTGGTTTCCTATAAAGTGGGCTTTTGTTTATCATTTCCTATTGAGTAAACGAACACTGATTTTAAAAGAGTAGTGTCCATTAATTCATAATTGTTTACCACTTCAGTAATCCTTGGTTGTAATTACAATTGACTGTTCTCCGAAGGAAACTGTGCGTTCAGTATTCTGTGGTATTGGTGTTATAATATAAATTGCATGGTTTAAGTTGAATTACATTATTTGTTCTTTATCGTCTGTTTTCTTGCATTGTTTTGGGACATTTTTCATGTTGGTAATTGTCTTTATATCACCACGGTGGTCTAGCGGTTAGAACACTGGCCTTGTAATCCTGGGGGTCTCGGGTTCGATTCCCGGCGGTGCCCGAATTTATAACTTGTGTTGGGCAAGGCCGTAGTCTAGGCAACACGGAGTTTTCCTCCGTGGCATCCCAACAATTACTCCATTCACACACAGAAGAAGGCAATGGCAAACCACTTCTGGATCATCTGCCAAGAACGTATATGAACAGGTCCCAGTCCGAGAAAAGGATGGAAGGATCCTGTTCATAATATGTCGCCAGCCTCCTATAAAGGAGACGGCGTAATGAAGGAGAATAATTGTCTTTATAATTTTGTCATTTCTCTTGATATATGGTTCATTGTCATAGACTTAGTTATGTGTAAGTTTTGTGCACAAACAAAAACGAGCTGTAGAAATTATTGTAGGCTTTACTGATAAGAATATTTGGAACAAAAGTTATATGAATGTTTTTCTCTCTTTCTTTTTTTCTTTTTTCTTTTCTCCTTTTTTTCCCTTCTCCCCAGAACTGGTATTCCTATCAGTTCACTTGTTTTCAGGTTTTGGAGTTTTTAAAATCTAAGAAGAACTGTATCAGTTTGCTACTGAAGCACTTGGGCACGTCCGCCATAATGGATTTAATGTTGAAGCTCATCACGCATGTAGAAGGAGTGGAAATGAAGCAAAATATTCTCAATGTAAGTAGAAGAATGTGAATTCAACAAGAGTCGTTTACCTACGGGGTGACTGTCTTCTGTGATGTTGCGCTGTACGGTCTGGTGGAAGTTTATCGACGTTTCAGAGAGCGCTGAATTTACTTCTCATCTTTCCATTCTCCTCACATAATTAACACATATTGATTCTTGCTCTGGAAATTATTAAATTGACACATGGAAAGAACAGTGTTCCTTTTCATTAGTTTTTATGCGTACTATAAATATAAACCCCCCCCCCCCCCCCCCAATATAATTCAAGGCCAGCAGCTCAGGTTAAAGTGCATTGTATATTCTTGTGCTGTGTTGACTTAAAATTTATTTATTATCCAGTGGTTGGATAGTCAGCAAGTGGTACAGTGCCTCGTTGCGTTGCTCGACCCAGGAATTGACCCTGAACGCCACTGTAATGCTGCACAACTTCTCTGTGATGTTATTAAAATGTCAAGAGAGAACCAGCTTACTTCTATAGAGCGGACAGATCCAGACCCGGTACTTAACACTCTCGAGGCGTAAGTGAGGATTTATTGTTTAGATACGAGTAATGAGAAATGAACACTGTTGTACTACAGAAATAGAAGTGTTTAAATAAGTACCACGTTTAAGTAGTAATTTTCTTGGCAGGCCAGAAACTGTACAACAACTCATGGATCACATTTTGGGGAAAGAGAAATGTGAATCTTCTATAGTTGGTGGGATCTCTGTATTGTTAACTCTACTAGACTGCAGTAAACCAAGGTAAGATGTCATATTGCTTGTTGTTTCTTGGCGCTACAACCCGGTTGTGGGTTTTCGCCGCCTCCTTTTCAGAGGTTTCTTGGTCTCGAAGTGTGCACTTATGAGTAGCGAGTGACAAGCCCAGTGACTCTGCACAATTTCTACTCAATCCTGATTTGACTGCCAGAGCCATCTAGCAGTTAATCAGGAGATTTGGGTGAGAAATGGCCGCTGAATTTTGCTTACGAAACATTTTGTATCATGCTCGTAAGGTTCTTTTATATGCCGTAAATCTACGACATGGGACCGCTGGCTTTACTTCCCCTCTGAAGGAAGTTGTGCTATGGATTTTTATCACCCTTAAAAATCCATTGACCTCGGCCAGGATCGAACCCGCGAGCCTTGGGTCCGGTGGCGAGCCTGTATCTGATTCGTTGAAATGTTGTTATATGAGTTATAGTTGTAATTGCACCCTTTTGATGTTTCGGTTTATATCTCACTTCTGTATCTATCTTTTCTTTAATCCAGTGGTGTAAATGGTGATTCCAATAATACGTATGGAGGCGGCAGTGTTCAAGGCGAAGAAGTAAGAGGAAATGGAGAAAATGAACAGCCTTCGAAGGTGGTTTTAAGTACAACAACGGCCATTTTGCCACGTCTTAAAGATTTTCACAATCTGTTACTTGACCCTCCGCATGTAAGTGCGAGTTTCAATTTCAGGAGTGAATCTGTATTTATCAGTTAATGGTGTATATCTCTATTAGTGATAAGTACGCACATAAATACACGTGATAATACGCTTTTATAATGAGCTTTTAAAGGGAATGAGTCCTATGCCAAGAAGTGTATACTGATCTTCATGTTTAAAATATGGAAACGCTGCATAACTACTTTGTGGCGTTGATTGAAACACACAAAGTTTGGAAGTTCTTTCTCATTTGAATAGCCAGCTGTCGTTGGTATGGAATGTAGCTACATGGATGGTGGCGTAGAGAATTTGTGATCTTACCGACCGTGTGTCACGTCTTACGTCGCAGCCGGCTCTGCATTGCACTAGCATACCTCTTAACCGTTAAGCCGAGAATTAATGTTTTCAAATTCAATTGGTGCTGTAGCTCTTGTGATATTAAACATTTGTTGTTTTGCAGAAACCACCGGTGAAGACAACGGTCGGATCTCTCGATCCTCCCCTTGGGAACACGAGGCTGCAAGTAGCAAAATTGTTTGCAGCGTTAGTTGCTACTAACAGTTTTGACGTAAATAAAGAACTGGCCAGTTTAGGTACAACTGAATTGTTACTGGTAAGGTTCTTGCTGAATGTTATGTATGTAGTCACAAAGGACAGGTAAATATCTTATTTTTAGTGCAGCTTTTTCATTTATTTTATTTTTATTCTCCGATTCTGGGCCCCGAGTGCATCCAAAGCAGTGCAGTGAAAGGGCTGCTTAGAATACATGGTTCTTCTGATGTCAGCATCTGCAGGGTTGATGAAGTGGAACCTAGTTCAAAACACCAGACTCATGTAATGAGACAATGTGGAAACATCTTGTGTTTCGTTACTTTTTCTTGCAGTATAATATGTGAAATCATTGCTGAATGGTCAGATTTGTTCTGGCATGTGCATTATCTTAATGGTGCCTGCACCTTGTCGTGGTAGTGGGGCTTGAGTACCTCAGTGACCCCAAGAGCTACTGGTAGGGCCTCCCTAGCTAGATTCGTCGATGGGGAGAGGTCAGACTAAGACAGGTACCCTGGTCCTCCAGGTTGGGGGGTTGGTCGCAAGGCTAACAACCTTGCGCCGTAAAAATGAAGATGTTTCGAAACCTCCATCAAAGCCTCGGACAGACGGACCTAACAGAGGACCTAATGGAAGAGGTGAATTGAGGAGGCCACGGACCGGAGAGCCATAGAAGAAGAAGATGTGCATTATCTCCCATGAATAATGGCAGACTAATGCTAGTGTCTGGTTGGAACTGTCATGAAATATATGTCATTTACTGCTGTTATGTCTGCGTATTGTTTTCATGGTCTGTTTTTCAGGACTTGTTTTTCAAATACACTTGGAACAACTTTCTGCATTCTCAAGTGGAACAGTGTATAGCATTTGCGCTTACTTCTGAATTAAGCGTCTCTGTTGGAAATGAGAAGAATGTTTTAGTAAATAATGTAAGTACAATGTAATATGATGTGGTAATATGATCTTATTTTGTTGTGGCCGCTGTATTGTCGATGATCCTTTGAATCTTTTGTTGTTGTTTTTTTTTTATTTCAGATTTTTCTAAAGTGCAAATTAATACAAAGGATTTTAGATGCGTGGGATGATAATGAAGTTCAACAGTAAGTACACGTCTGGTTCATTCTGAAATGATCAGGCATGGGAGTACGTTAGATTGTTATTAGAGAAATAATTTGTGGGATAGGAAGCATATGTGGTAATGATGATGTGAACGTAATTTCTAGATTAACCAAGAGACCCAAGTTTGGTTAATCTACCGAACGAATGGTCTGTTACGGCCTTTCCTGGCCTCTGTTAGATATGCTAATCCAGTTTTTAAAGTGGATCAGTTGTAAGCCAGATTTTGTCACTACTGATTATATGATGATTATGAGGATGATGGTTGGCAGGTGCTCTGAACCACAGTTGGGTGGTCAGTATGGTCACTTCACTTTGCCAAAGTTTTATTTGTACCAGAAGTGAAGGCTGCAGTTTGTGTGCAGAAAAATGCACACATGGGTCTGACTTTGGATTGAACCCAGAACCCTCTTCATTAGAGTCCAGATTCTTACTCGAAGGACACGAGAACCGCTTCTGAACTCAGTCTTTGTGAGTCCTCAGATTAAAAATCTGTTGATGTAGCGGCAACAGGTGACTTCAAGGCAGGGGCAGAGCTAACTTCTGAACATAAAATATTCTTAGGACAATGTGAACATCTCGCATAATATTGGTGTACTGTAACAACCGGAGAATCAGTATACTCTACCGTACGGTTGTATCCGTGGATAACATAACTCCGTTTCCATATTATGATGGGAATCAACTGTAATACGAGGATAGAAGGGCAAACATTTGTGTACCAAATCACATATGTACGGACTGCAGTCTGGTAATGCCTTTTGTGTACGAAAACGCTGGACGTGTTACATTTAATATGTTACAAATCTTCAAGAAATATTAATATTTGGATTTCATTATTGTTACCTGTAGTGTGTGAAATTTCTTTATTTTTTTATAACAGAGCCAAAACCGGTGGTCTCAGAAGAGGTTATATGGGGCATCTAATCAAGATGGCAAATACTGTAGCACAGCAGGCCGAAAAGGGTCCCCTAGGGACTTTCATCAAAGAGCACGTAGCAGCAGATATTGTAGTTGCGTGGGAGGCATTTGTTGCCAACACGCTGGCAGAAACTAATAAGACGCATCAGATGTATTTGGTAAGCACTGTTTTCACTTTTTAATTAAAACCTACAGGTTTGCTCAGTTCGGTGATTGTGCCTCGTTCAATGATTTAGCCACGTGTTGAATTTTTATAGCTATTGAGTCGGTATTTATTTATGGTTTATTTATCAATGCTGTTTGTAGTTCAGACTATGTAGCATCATCCTAGGTTCTGTTGAAGACTGCTCTTATGTTTCATTGTAAACCAATGGTGACTTTGTCGTAGGGTGGTCCTCCTCCTGTTCGTTTAAGTGCTGAAGACGATGATGCAGATTACAGAAACATTCCATTCTCACAGGACCCAGGGTTACAGCAGGTAATGTATCACAATATTATAAGCATTTCTTGTGATTATTATCGTGTTGGTCACTTGTCTTAGTTTCATTTCTTGAGGAAAATTTAAAAGACTTACCACCGTCGGTACTTGCGGGTTATCGGGACACATCGCTTTAAAAATAGGTTAGGTTAGTTGTCATTTATCCATACACATTAACCTAACCTAACCTATTTTTAAAGCGATGTGTCCCGATAACCCGCAAGTACCCAACCGTCTATAATTGATCATAACACCGTGGTAAATGCACCACTAAATGTCTCAGCCTCCATTACTTACTTTATTGTTGTGAATGTGAGGTTATACTCAGTCATGACCGATTCTCACTGTTTGATCAAGAGTTAATAATGACATCGTTTTATTGGGATTGTCAGCGTATTCATCGAGACACTTGTACTGTGAAATGTTCAGTTCTGTTTAATGTTTCTCATCCCTCCTTTTAGTTCTCTACATAAAAGGAAAGTAAATCGTTTTACTGAGTGAGATTTCAGGTTCTCTCAGTGATGAATATGAGGATGGCTTCTGGGATGTTTCATTGTGTCAGTATGTACACCATTCAACATCCCAGAAGACAGCTGTCTAAATCACCTTGGTAAAATTCAGGGTATAATATTGATACTGAGGATGCATAAATATATCTGATTTATAAAATAAGTACCTTTTTTTTAATTACTAAAGTATTTTGAACATTGTAAAATTGGGTTGTCGGCAAGCAGGAGTAATTCTTCTATGGCTCCCCAGTCAATATTCGGTCCATGGCCTCCTCAATTCTCCTCTTCCATTCGGTCCTCTGTTAGGTCTGTCTGTCTGTCCGAGGCTCTGATTGAAGGTTCGAAACTTCTTCCTTTCTACGGTGCACGGTTGTTAGCCTTGCGACCAACCCCCAACCTGGAGGACCAGGGTACCTGTCTTAGTCTGACCTCTCCCCATCGACCAATCTAGCTAGGGAGGCCCTACCAGTAGCTCTTGGGGTCACCGAGGTACTCAAGCCCCACCACCATGACAAGGTGCAGGTACTATTAAGTGGGGAGGAGTAAAATGCACGATTAAAAATACAGGCGAGTAACACTGCTTGTGTCCACTTTTAACGCCTTAACTTTACCGTACTTTCTAATAACATTTGCCTCTGATTTGTAGGTGTTTTCTGAGTACCAGATGCAACAAATGGCCCCACAGTTCATTGAAAATTATGGCTACCATGATGATGAATTCACGGATGGTGAAGATACATTACAGTAAGTAGAATCTGCTTTATATTTTTCATTCTGCAGTGTACGTAATGAAGCTCATTGGAAGGTGGAAAATGTGAGTCTTAGCAATGAATTCAGTAATTCTGAAATTTCAGATGTAGCGCACATTCACTGAACAGTAGTAGTGTTAATGATATTGGATTACACGATCTCTGATAATTCTCTTACGTACATATGTGGCAAGAAATTGATGTTCGTTGAGCTTGGAATGCGCGCACAGCAGTACAGCATCGGTAAGCCATTACATCATTTGTTTCGTGGAGTGCTGGTCGATCATGATGCGTTGATGGCACGAGCACTAGTACAAGGTGCACTAATATTGAGATGATGTCACATGACGGACACTTACCATTGTCTAAAGTTTGACTGGTACAGATAAAAAACATTTGTTACAGCGCGTCTGTGGACCGGCTTACGAGCATGACCTTTAGCCTTAGCGAAGATGAACTTGACAGGCAAGCAGAGCTGTTCAAACAAGTCTGTGCCCAGAAGTTACATACGCTGAATGATGGAGAGGAAGACATTTGGGATGATCGAGAACAGGAGCTCACCTTTCAAACAGTCATCGATACAAGGACAAGGTAAATAAGATATGGCGTTACAGTCTGGCATCGTAAGGGTTGGTGCGAGGAGATGGAGGCCGAGATGGTCTCCAGAATGTTCGATTGTAACCCCGTGCTTACATGGCCGATCGTTGAAGAAGATGTGATTGAATCCATTTGCCCCAAAAACTTTATATTCCACGTTACCTATTTTTATTGATTTACATTCTCTTCGATACATGATGCAGGAAAGGCAGTATGGAGTTCTTTAAATTTACTGCCCCTCTTATTGCTAGATGTTTCAAACATTAAATGTTTTCTACATTGTAAGCTAGAGACATTAATGATATATTATTCTTTACAAGGAACTGGCAAGAGGAGGATGCCGCTGGAAATAGTAGTTCAGACGAGGAGGAAAGAGCCGGTCCAGAGGGAAGGGAAGATGTGCACATGGAAGTGGATTCCACAGATCGTGAGTGACCGTGTTCGCGGAAAATACGGTGTCTGTGCAGATTGCTTTGCTTTTTGATTTTTAGTTGTAATAGAGTTCGTTATATAAAACTTAAAATTGAGGTTGCGTTGTTAGGGTGGATATGTGTAAAGAATTTCTTAAAATGAAAATAATTATTCTAACTGTTCTTTAAACTTATTTTCTGTTCTTTTCTGCCCCCCCCCCCCAATATTAATTCCTAAAATGCGTTGAAGGGAAGGATTGGGAGAGATTGAAAGATGGGAGCTGTCCCAGTGGGTTTGGCAAGCGAAGCGAGTACGGGCGGTTTGGTTTGATGGTTTCTCTCTTCTGTTTCAACTAAACATTTATTAATGGGAATATTTTTGGACTCTGGAAATGATTATTATGGCAGTGTAGAGGCGATTGCCTCAGTGACTTTTGCTAGATAGTAACTGATCCGAGTCTGACATTATTGAACTGGCTCGTTCATAATTTTACTTTTTTAGGGGGGCCATTGGTTAAGCAGATTTATTCGGTGTTTTGACATTCATTGTTTTACATGAATACCGGTGATGCAGAATATCCTAACTTCATTGCAAGACGCTATAGCGTGAATGAAGCATATGTAAGGATTGGACTTGTAATTTTAATCTCTTGTTTCTGTGAACAGCGTGGGGATCAGCCAATATTACAAGTGAAGGTGCAGTTGCTCCAATAGCAGTAGATTCTAGCAACCCATGGAGTAACAGCTGTGAGCCCACTCCTGTTCTTGGACCCACAGCTCCTGATGAAGGAGGCTGGGCAGATTTTGAGTCTGCTGGGTTCGCTGATTTTGAGGCAAACTTCGGAGCTGGCGGTGTTACAGACGTTGCTAGCAGCAAGAGTGCCAATGATTGTGAAAGTTGTCATCCAGAAACCGCAAAGACGGACGTTGACGTAACAAATTCTGCTGTGCTAGTTGAATGTAAGTTAACAGCAAACTACTTTATTCTCTGAACCATTAGCTGTGAGCTCCTCCTTGTCGCATCGTATTATCCTTTGTCACATAAATAACATTAATAAGTGTATTTGTATTGTTCTGTTCTAGCTTCAGCCAAAATAGCCGTTACCGATTCAGGAAACGGAACCGAAAAGGGGCCTGCTGGCAGGCCTTTATGCACTGACTGCAAACTTACTTCGGAACTTAAAACTCAAGAAAAATATAAGACAGAAGAAGAATGGTTAGTTTTTGCTAAGTGCTTTGGATTGTTTCCCACACGCTGTGTTCATGTCTGACAAACAGTAACATGTTGGTTTCTTGCAGCCCGGATCCAGGGTCAGATGACAATGCAAATCCTAATGCTTCTGTAGGAAAAGACCACCAGCAGCAACAACTTATAGATAATTATAGGTGAGAAACATTGCCACATTTTTTTTTTTTTTTTTTTTTGGTCGCCGTTAGTTTTAAATTCTGATGTCACATAATTTTGTTGTTGTTACACCGGGGTAACTTTTACGTTCTGTGTTCAGGTTCCTCTCAGTGCAGGGTCTGATGGCAGGCGGTAGTGGTCTAGCAGAAGAAAATACGTCACCAGCGCAGAAGCTCGAGTCTGATTCTGTTCCAAAAGAGAATGGACCAGTACAAGAAAAGGCACACGACACGACTGAAGTGGTAGACAACAGTCAGTCGACGTCAATGTAAGCAGCTCCTATGACTTTCTAAATGTGCTTTGATATTAATGACAGCTACTAATGAAATTCCACATTAATTAAAATTTGTGTTATTCTACTGACTACATGGAGAGGATTCCTTTTTGAGAAGTTAATACTCTCAGTTATCCCATTATTTATTTTCTTTTATTATGACCTATCTTATTTCCGTAGTACCTTTAAGAAAACTGATCAGTTGCTACGCCAGTGAATCAGGGCAATGCCGTCTTGCTCATTGGTGGTCATTCCAAAAAATCATCTCATTGTTTGTTAAAAAAATATTTTTTGAGAGACGGATTTTGTCTGAAACATTTTGCATTTCATTGAAACTTTAAAAAAATTAACGTCTGTTTAAGAACGTGCGTCTTGATTCGTCAGTATGGTCTAAAATGATTTATGCTTGGATGATATTATTAAAAGAGGTTTCCAGCATTGAATTGCATAAATGTCTTTAAATGTTACATTAAGAGTTTTTAGAAACCTGACTTCAGGTTCCAGGCTCCGGTGGTTGAGTTGGGAACAAAGTTATGTCACCAAAGTTCGGTAGAGTAGAGACAGTTCGTGTGTTTGAACCCACAACCGAACATGAACGTGGCAGATAGTTTGAAATTTGAATTTTAGTTTGAAATTTGAATTTTAGTTTTTAAGGTCGTTGACAGTGATGGACATTTTGTGTGTTATTTCAGAGCCAAACAAAATGAGGCATGTTCAAGTCAAACAGGTCTAGGTGCAACGCCAAATGGCCCTGTTTGAATTCTTAAGTTGATATCGATATTTAACATCTGTGCTCAGGTAAGCCTTGGCTCTTACGGGACATTAAAGGGCCTACACAACAGAGTGACGATGGATCAACAGAACATTATCATTCATTTTGAGCCATATCAGAGAAGAATTGCAGGTTCAAGTATTGTGAATTGTGTATAGGATACCAGGACTGTACTCCATTGCAAATAATTTCACTGCTCAAAGAGTACTAGAGTGCCTCGTAAGTACTCCCAGCGTTCCTTTGAGGTGCTCGTTGCATTCTGTAGTATTATGTCTGGGCAAATTTGTCTTATCAGACTGGTATGGTGGTGCATTAATGTTGTAAATTTATTATAGAAGCGTGTGGTCTAAAGAATAATATTTAATTGAAAGTAAAATGCTGCAGGATTATTGCCGTTGGTCGTACGAGTAGGGTCATTAAATACGGTGGTAGTCACTCGACAGAATTGTGTAGTGAGCAATTCTTGAGTTCGGCAGAATGTGATAGGTAAATACATGACACATCTTTTAATGTGAATTCTTTTACATACAGTTTTTTGTAAAGAATACATTATTATGAATCCTTTATTGCACTACCCCCTTTTATAACAAATTTTAGGTTACTTAAGCTGTCAAATATAGTGTATAATTGTCATATGCAGATTCCCTGGCGTTAGAGAAGTTTTAATTTAGTGCTGAGGGGAACGTTTGCATTGATACAATTTTCATCTGCCTAAATTACCTGTGTCTTTTGAGGGAAAATATCAGTGGAAAGTGTTACGGTCTTGTCCTTTGTTACGTACAAACATTTTAAGGAATTCCATAGTTTTATGTGAAGGGTTATTGTTTGCTCTTAAAAGTTTGAGATTTGAAATGCTAGTGCATATTTTCATGACCTCGGTGTTCAGCTTTTTCTTGAAGGCGCTGTATAACATCGCTGAATTCCTGTGCGTGGATCATCCCCCCAGTCTGTGATGTGGCTTCCAGTTTAATCGCGTAAAGTTAGTTTTGCACAGTTGAATGCTGTTTGTGTATATGATGTATGAAACAGTCGCTGTACATTATTATATAAACAAATATATTGTTAGGTAATGAAAATCACTAGTTTGTATGAAACTTAGCGGAGTCGCTGTTTAGTGGCTGACTTTTTGCTGAGAAGTGCTTTTAATTACATAGTTCCAAAATACCTGATTGCAGTTTAAAGTCTATGGCTTGGTACATTATAATCACGATAAAGCAACTTCGGCCTTCTGTTGTGTGTGCCGATAAACGGCTCAGCTGGTTACGTGCCATAATTGTAGGGATAAAGCTGTTTAATGTCAGTTGCATTAGGATCTTTTAAAATCAAATAAAAATTATTTTGTGCAATTTAGAAAGGCTTTTAAAATTTGAAAATGTGCGTGGTGTATTAATTACACCACCATTTTGTTAAGGGTGTAAGTGTATGACTTGAGGTCATTGTGCACTTGTCAAATTTTTGTTTGTATACAGTATATGATGCCAGTTGATGTATTTTGATACTATGTATCATAATGTCCGTAACTTGGGCTCATTATATTAAGTTTGCAATGTAAATGCACCAACAGATTATTGACTGAGTGATCCCAAGGACTAGAATTTCCTGATAAAAATTCATGAGAATAAAAATGTGCTTTTATATTTGGGTATAATCTTGCAGGATGTTAAATTCAAAGAGATATATATATATATATGAAGAAATGAATATAAATATATTTAAAATAGTAAATATGTTCTATGATTACGCACATAATTCTTATAATGATGTATTATTGTTGCAACAGAAGCAATATAATTATTGGAATTGTTGATTATCTACATTTTATGCTTCCGTAAAACAGTTCACTATCGTGAAAGTTTCTTGTGAATATTTTTTCACATGAATGTGTAAATATGTGAAACTGTAACAGTATTTATATTTTGTGTAGGCATCAGTCAATGTGACAGTCTGCAGTGATAATTGTACAAAATATGAACACATTGTGGTATTAACATGTTTTGCACATTCACAAATATTTTTTTGAACAGTTACAGGTATTCATACATTTTTACTTCAAAATTGGATCACTAAGGCAATGAACGAGGCCAATATGCATAACTGTAAACAAATGTGTGACAAAGGAAGTGGATTTTTTAGAAACTTGTTTTGTGAAACTTGAGTGCTGAGTCCAGTTTCTATACATGTAAAAGTGTTGAAATATTTTGATTAATCCAGGAGACTTAATTGAATAGTTTTAGTACAAATATAGTTGAATCATTTAATATACAAATACTCTTGCAGTTGAATACAAATAGTGGCAGTATCCTACAGAAATTTGTAAATAAATATGTGGAAGAAGTACATAATGACCAAGAATAAAACCTTATAGGTCCTAAGTAAAATAAATATTGTTACACTTTGTTGGCTCTTGGCTTTCAGTTGTTTCCATTAAATTAATCCAGCATTTTTTTTTAAATTCCAAAGAGTACATAATCCCACAGCATATTAAACATTATCCAACTCTGTGTTCTAAACTTGATATGTTGCTATGCCAGTGACATGCACTATGAAAATTAAGTTACAGACTTCACCAAAATACACAAAAACTGAAAATTTGCATTTGGAGCAAATTCAAAGTGAAATGATGTATTAACGCGTTGCCACAGCAACAGATTTGATTTCCTGATGTTCAGGAAACCAGCATTTACTGGCGTGGTTATAAACAGCTGCTGAAGGTGGTAGGATAATATTTATTAAAATATATCTTTCATAAGTTGGGAAGATCTGGATTGGATTCATATGGCTCAGGATATGAACCAGTGGTAGGTTTTAGGTGCTTTCTGAACATCATCAGGCAGTAAACATCTCTGAAGTGAACTTGTATGGTGCATTTTCCATAAGATTTAGTATCTTAATACTGCCATGAGAACCTGAAATGTAACTATGGGGAAAAAATATAGGAGCTACATGGCAGTTGTATTTTTAAACAAGGTTTCTTTTCAGCTTGAGGATGGATGACAAAACTACACATGTACGAATGTTTTGAATAAGTAGCCGAACAGCCAAGAGGTATGCCACCAATCATAATAATGCAAAAGGCCTTGGTAGTGGATTTTTTGTTGAGATTTTGTAAACAGAATAACGATTTTGGGGTTGCATAAAAGTTGTGAATTTGCTGACTAGGTGAGCAATTGTCAGCTTCTCTAGGAGGAATTTGCTGCATTGAATTAGTGAGGTTATTTTCTTTCCAGTTTACAGCACAGTTGAAAGTACCTTTGTGCAAAATATGTATACGGTCTTCAATCGCCCGTCCCTTCTTCAGATACGTATCGCAAAAAGAATATTATAATTGTTTTTTGACGTAAATACGTCTATAAGGAAGGGTCATTCGGCAAAAAAGTGTAACTGCATTGTTATGTTACCTAGGCAACGTCATCTGTTTACTCGGCATTGTTGTGTTACATTACTGCCGTCAACAATCCGCTTTCGTTATTGCGGAAAGAGCTGAGATTTTAACATTGATTTAAAGAAGGAGGAAAATCAAAGCTGTCACATTTATGGAGGAAACGTTTGGCTTAATGTTGATGTCAAATCCTAGCCAATATATAAACTTCCTTTCCGTATAGACGTATTTAGGTCAAATTATCCGGAACCATGGTTCCACTATCACTTTTTTAAAAATATTTTAATTATTCAGCCATTTTGTTGCAACAATCGAATTGTTCGATAATGCTGATCAGAATGTTGTCCTTGGTTGTTAGTTATCTGTGACTGTTTCCGGTTACTTCATTAGCATATGTTGGAAGAGAGATAAATCAGCAAGAGGAAGGCAAGTTACACTAATTGGGACTTATAATGGTAAGAAATTAAGTAGGAACGCATTTCGGTTATGAATTTATACTATATTCGTTTGTCGTTCTCCGTTTAAGTCTCGGAAGTGGTTGTTTTTGGGAATTGAGTTTTGATGCCAAGCATGTGTGGTAATGCGACCTATCAGGAGCATGTCGTTGAAGCCGAAATTGGATTTATCCACGTATTGCATTGTGGAAACCATTTCAGGTAAAAGGTTTGCACGTTGATGGGAATAAGTCTCAAAGTGTGGATTCTGCTATTCAATTACATGACTGCAATTGGTGTAGCCGTGCCTGTGCAGTGTGAAGTCAGGAGGAAGACAATTTTTCAGCCAACTTCCCTATTAGAATCTAATGGAACCTTTGTATTTCCCATCGACACAGACCACATGCTGATGTGTCCATTCAATTCCAGTTTCTCGTTTCCATGGATCTTCCAAATGGGATGTTTACAGTGGAGATGTAATATTTTTTGTTTGTGGCTGCAGTAACTTTACATTCATTTGTAATACTTCTGATTTCTAAATATGTCAGTTTTTCTCCATTCTCAGATCCAGTAGGCCATAAATAAAAAAAAACATGTTTCTTTCTGTGACACAGACATACATCCCATCAAAATGGGCTGTTTTGTACTTGTTCAATGGTAAAAAATGCAATTCATTTGTGTTGTAAGTTGCTGATATACATTGAGACTTAAATATTCTTGCAAATCCGGTGTTTACGAAATTATTTAATTGGGATATAAAATAAGCAGACAAACAAACTATTAACGCTATAAAAAAGACACTACACGGTATGCAAAGTTTTAAGATTATTTAATTGTGATTTTTCATGTACTTTTCTGAATAATTTCTGTGTATTCAGTACTACTCCATGACTCCAAAGGCCTGGAAGCTTGAATAATCTGTAATTAGAGCATGTTCAATTTACAGAAGCCACTTATGCTTCATGGACATGAGCGTCCCATTACACAAATTAAATATAACAGAGAAGGAGATCTTTTATTTTCATCAGCAAAGGATCTTAATCCAAATGTATGGTATTCGTTAAATGGAGAACGCCTCGGAACCTTCGATGGTCATCAGGGAGCAGTATGGGCCATCGATGTTAACTGGGACACTACTCGATTTATGTCGGGAGCAGCTGATCAGTGTTTGCGTATCTGGGACTGTGCAACAGGTAAGAATGAAAGGAATATGGTAGTTTATTGCATAAGGATACTGGCTTTGGATTGAATGTCGTTAAGAGTGTAATGCTTGAAGTGGGAATGTTTTTATGAAGTGTTTCGTGTCTTTTTTTTTTTAAGGAAGTCAGATTGGGAAAATTGAGAACAGCTCATCTGTTAGATCCTGCAACTTCAGCTATAGTGCTAACATGGCTGCGTATTCAACAGATGCACATCTGGGTCAGCTGTGTGAGATACTGATAATTGATGT